AATATCAGGCTGCACTGAAGGCAAAAGATCCTTCTGCTGAGCCGGGCTTTGTCACGCTGGAAGGTTATGTGGTTGGTCGACTGGCTGTCATGGGGCTGGAAAAAGCCGGAAAAGACGTCACGCGTGAAAACTTCCTGAACGCTTTCTGGTCCACTGGTGACTTCGACCTGGGCGGCGTGACCCTGTCCTTCGGTCAGGACGACAACCAGGGCATGAACGACGTCTTCCTGACGACCATTCAAAAAGACGGCGGCTTCTCGCCGATCGACAAGCCTGCGAGCTAATGAGCTCCTTGTCGCTGGCCCGGAACACGGGCCAGCGAAATTCCATTCTGCCATCTGGGGTTGGATAACATGGCAGAGCATGTGTTCTTTGGGGGACTGTCGGGAACATGGTTGGGTTTAAAAAATTCTTTTCAGGGCCTTCTCGGATGAGATCATCATTCAATTTAAGGACCCGGGGAAAACTGTTCACCGCGTTTGCGGGATTGGTCTTGCTGACCGCGACGGCGATCGGCATAGGCCTTTTTTCCTTTCAGAGGGTCGAAAGCGGTTTTGCGGAACTTTCTGAAAAACGGCTGCCTTCAATTGAAAATGCAGCCCAGCTGGCGCTTTCAAGTACGGAAGTTGCGACTGCGGCCGCAGCTGTAGCCAATAGCGTGACGTTGCAGTCCCAGGAAGTTTCGTTCCAGGCTCTTCAGAAATCTGTCGCTGTCATCGAAGGCATAGAAACGACTTTTATCGCTTCGGACTCGAACCGCGAGATTGTTGAAGCGCTCTTTTCCCAAAGCCATACTTTCAAGGAACGCCTGGGCGTCCTCGATCAGGCCACCAAGGAAAAAATTGCTGCGCGAGATGCAAAAGATGCGCGCATGGCTGCTCTTTTCAAGGCTTATGACGGTGTAAACAGTGCGATAACGCCAATCGTGGACGATGCCTACTTTACCGTTGTGCTGGGTGGCGAAGACGCGGCAACTCAGAGCAAGGAACTCGTCGACAATCTTGCCAATACTGAAATGGCAAAGCTCAGACTTTATCTGGAGCTGCGTGCGGAAACCAACCTGCTTGTCGGATTGGCCGAAACTGTCGCGTTTGTGGATGATACTGCGCTGCTGACCCTCTTCGAAGACAAGATTATCGCGACAGAGAAGAAGATTGCCGACTATCGTCAAGAATTGAGCGCGCTCGAGCTGATTACGGGTGCTGAAGCCGAGTTTGACGAACTGAACGAACTGGTTGCAAGCACGCTGGCAAAAAGCAGCGCGAACAACATCACGGCCGGCGAGCAGAAGCAGACGTTACAGAAAGCAATCGGCCTGCAAAAAGCAATTGATGATGCACTCATCATGCAGATCGACGACCAGTTGTTCACGCTGACGATCGACACGGAAGAGGCTGTAACGGAAAACTCGGCAATCATCACCGATCTGCTGAACAATCAAGTGGGCCAGTTGAAGAGCACCCTGGAAGCACAGGCCTTTGCCAACAAGTTTGTCGCAACCCTTGTTCAAGGCGGCTTGACGCAGGATCCAGCGCTCTTGGTGCCGCTTCAGGAGAAAATTACAGCCGACGCGAAACACATGCGTGACGGCCTTGATACCCTGGGATCTGAAGACATCAAGGCGCAACTCGAACAGCTTCTGGCGTATGGCAATCCCGACAACGGTCTTTTGCGCGATCACCTGGAAGAACTCACCAGCACCAGAAAGTCGAACGAACAGGTGACGGAGATGTTCTCTGCGGTTGAGCGTATCGGTCAGTCCGTCGCTTCGCTCATCGAAATGGAACTGGCTGCGGTAGATCAGGCAACGACACAGATCAACAGGCTGTTCGACAACGGGTCTCTTGCTCTGATCGCCATCGGGATAGCAAGCCTGGTGATTGCAGGTGCAATCGGTTTCTTTGTCGTCGACCGTGGACTGGTGAAACCGCTGCTGGGTCTTGTCAGTATTACCCGAGCGCTCGCCGACGGTGAGCTCGATGGACATATCGCCGGAACAAACCGCAACGATGAAATCGGTGATCTGGCAAAGGCAATGGAAGTCTTCAAGGAAAACGCGGTGGAACGCAACAACCTGGAAGCCGTGTCCCGGGAAGAACAAAACGCGCAACTGGAGCGGCAGAGCCGTATCGAAGACATGATCACGGACTTCCGCGACGAGATGGAATCCGTGCTTGCCAATGTCACCGCGAACATGGATCAAATGCAATCCACAGCACAGGTTTTGAGCCAGATCTCCACCGAGACCGCCTCTCAGGCCTCCGAAGCAGAAGCAAGTTCCACGGCCGCATCCGAAAACGTCGGATCGGTTGCCTCAGCGGCAGAACAGCTTGCCGGATCGATCGCGGAAATCGGGCAACAGGTCTCCCGCGCGACCGAGATTGTCACAAACGCTTCCGGAAGTGCCCGGATGACGACCGAGAAGGTCTCGGAGCTCGCTGAATCGGCAAACAAGATCGGCGAAGTCGTCACTTTGATCCGGGCCATTGCGGAACAGACCAATCTTCTGGCCCTGAATGCCACGATCGAGGCAGCACGAGCAGGTGAGGCCGGGAAGGGCTTTGCGGTGGTTGCTGCGGAGGTCAAGGAATTGGCGACCCAGACCTCGAAGGCGACAGAGGAAATTGCCACGCAGATCGAGGCAATCCAGTCATCAACCGGACAGTCTGTCGTTGCGATCCAGGAGATCCGTGACACGATGGAACAGGCTGACGAGACGACGTCGGCCATTGCGGCGGCAGTTGAGGAGCAGGACGCGTCAACGGCGATGATTTCCCGAAACGTTCGCGATGCGGCAGAAGGGACCCAGGGCGTGGCTGACAACATATCCAGTGTCATGAGCGCTGTCGCCGAAGCCGCACAATCTGCGGGCCAGGTGGAAATGGCATCCAACGAGGTCGCGGACCAGGCACGCCACATCAAGGTCGTGGTCGATGACTTCCTGGCCAAGGTCGCTGCCGCGTGATCCAATAACGCGCAGCAAAAGAGCTGAAAGAAAAGCTGGGCCTTGAAAAAATCTGGTGAGGCCTGCTTCAAACCTTAAAGAGATGAATGGACCGCCGGCTTTTGCAGCCGGCGGTCTTTGCATTTTTCAAGCACCATAAGTTGACTTCGTCGACGAGCAGTTGCGCTTTTCGCTAACTTCTTGTTTGGCGTGACTAATGAAGAAGTTGTTGTTTCTTTTGTTCTTTATGCCGCTGCCCGGAGTTGCCGGCGAACCCGTCAGCATTGAAACAGTGAAAGCAGGAGCGATCACCCTCGTTGAAATCATCACAAAGGCCATGACCAGTTCATGGAAATGCGCGCCAGCGAGAACCTGGACAATGCGGACTTTGCTGCCTTCCAATCCAGCCGGTCGAACGGCAGGTTGCCATCGACTTCGCATCCCTTGTGTCAAGACATGAGCTCCGGCTTTGGGCGAAACGTGTCAGGCCACGTCAATGTGCGTGGGCATCTGCTCCACGCGCCATCATCAGATGATGTTCCCGGTGATGGTCCTGACTTGCCATAAGTCCAAAAAAGCCCAGCCCCTTTATGCGCGCGGCCACGACGGGATTGTTACTTGTGACGCGCAGCTCCACTGCGTTTTCCACTTCGAATGCCGTGACGGTCCAGCGGTCGTCCTGCGCCAATTGGGCTGCATGTGCGGGCACCATGCGTCGCAGTGTGGCGACCGTGTCAACATCCCCCGTCGCAATCGCGGAAAGGCCGTCCGGCAGTGCTGTCTCCTCCACAATCGCGTCCGAAATCAGGCGGTCCATATCAACCAGATGCGCCCGCAGGCCCGCCAGGTCAACTTGGCCCCAGTCGGTATCGGGATCGGCTTCGAGCACGCGCACAACTTCAGAAAGCGCCGCGAAAGCCCCTTGTCCCGGCTCGCTCAGGATCGTGCCCCGGGGTGACTGGTCTTGAACGTAGGTCGCGTGATCCATGCCGTCGTCATGGCCTGAGTGGGTCGTTTGGGCAACTGCAAAGGCCGCTCCACCGAGCAGCACTACGACGGCCAAAATTGTCTTCGTTTTCATTCTCTTGCCTCGCAACTGTCGAGAACACCCTATCCAACGTTGTACCCACGTCGTATGATTTCTATCATGTCAGACTGGAAGCAGTTATTTGAGGATGCGCCGACAAGAACCTTGGAGCAGGGTGCTATTCTCTTTCGTCGGGAAGATCGCGTTCGGTCGATGTATCTTGTTCGATCCGGCATGGTCGCGCTTGAGCGCCCGCTCGCGGATGGAACCGCGCTTACGCTCAGCGTTGCCACGTCTGGAATGGCTCTGGCCGAGGCGTCGTTGTCAGCAAAGACCTATCACTGCGATGCGATCGCATGCCTGAATTCCAAGATAGCGTTCATGCCTCGTGCCACCTTCCGATCTGCGCTGCGTGACCGGCCAGACGATGCTCTAGGCCTTATCGAAACTTATGCCAGGGAGATCCAGTCCCAACGGGCGCGCATCGAGATATTGCGCCTTCGCCGGGTGTCGGACAGGTTGGACGCCTGGTTGGATTTGAACGGCGAACCACGGTCAGGTGAATGGATAAGGGTTGCCGATCAGATAGGTGTATCGCCACCCGCACTCTATCGCGAGCTGGCACGTCGGCGAAGGTGAGTGTTCATCGTCCAGGCCGCTGATTGGCATGGGCAGACTTTTGCTACGGAGGGGTATTTCGGTAGACGAGGCTCATTCCGGAAATTGGTTGCACCGGGCACCGACAACAGCAATGGGAACTTTGCTGACCTTCGCCGGACAACCTCAACACTGCATCGCAGATCGAGATGAGCCGCTCCGCGGCGGGACAGAAAATCTCTTCATGGAGATCATCGCCCGGCAGTTTCCCTCCGGCTGCTTGCCAGACAGGTTGAGCAACCCGCTCGCCAATCATCGGGATGTATCCGGGCTGGAAAATCGGCCATGATGCCGCTTCAAGCGCGTTTTGATTTGCCGCCATCTTTTCGGAATTGTCGTTGGTCCCTGAACGCTAGGGTCCGGAAATCAGGATCAGTTTGTCTCGGCTCTTTTCACAAGCGTGTTGATGAAAAGATGTTGAAGCAGGATGATCGTCTTGCCATCACAGATCGCACCGTTCTCGATCATCCGCATCGCCTCCGTCAGCGCAACCTGCATCACCTCAATGTCCTCGCCCTCTTCGAACGTGCCACCGCCATCACCGGTCTGATCGGATGCGGAATAGGTGCCTTTGAAGAATGCGAGATACTCCGTCACCGAGCCCGGGCTCATGTAAACGTCAAACAAATGCGTCAGGGTGTCGACCTCAAAGCCGGTTTCTTCGATGAGTTCTTTCCGCATCCGCTCATCGGCACGCGCTCCGTCCAACAGTCCGGCGGGCGTCTCGATCATCGAATGCAGACCACCATTTAGAAATACCGGAAGTCGGAATTGACGCGTAAGCAAGACGTGATCTGTCTGAGGATTATGAAGGAGGCAGGTCGCTCCATTGCCACGATCATAAGTCTCGCGGGTCTGTCGCTGCCATTCACCATTGCGCCTGAGAAGCTCAAACTCGTGCTTTGTCAAAAGACCCCAGTCGTCTGACAGAACTTCCTTCGAAATCGGACGGTAGTATTCACGTGAATTCATAAAATCTTGCTCCTGGCTCTGGGAAGCAGTAACGTGCAAAAACGTGCAGAGTCAAGAAAGATCGTGCAATGCTGAGTCATGAACGAAAGACCCACCTGCTATCCCTGCTTGATGAACAAGGCAGCGTTGTCGCCAAGGACGTAAGCCGTGAATTGGGCCTGTCCGAAGATACGATCAGGCGCGACCTCCGTGAGCTGGCCAGGGACGGACGCCTGAAACGCGTGCATGGCGGTGCCGTTCCGATCGCACCGGCCAATGCTCCGTTTCCGGGTCGAATCGGGATTGCCACCCCTGAAAAAGTTGAGATTGGCAAACGTGCTGCTGCGATGATCGAGCCGGGTCATGTTGTTTTTTTGGATGGCGGTACGACAGCGATTCAACTTGCGCGGCATCTGCCTCGACACCTCGATGCGACGGTCATCACGCACAGCCCCAACATCGCGATGGAACTTCTCAACCATCAAGGACTGGAAGTCGAAATTGTGGGTGGCAGGCTATTGCGTCATTCCATCGTGACAAGTGGAGCCGCGACTATCGCCTGGCTGGGTCGCTACCGCCCCGATATCTGCTTTGTCGGGGCCACCGGGCTGCACCCGGATCAAGGGATTACGACGGGAGAAAGCGAAGAGGCAGAGGTAAAACGCGCGGTTATCGAGAAATCGGGATCAGCCGTGATTTTGGCATCGTCAGAAAAGTTCGGGGCAGTTTCATCCTTCGAAGTTGCGCGTTGGACAAACATTGACGGTCTTGTGGTCGCCCAAGCAGCTTCCCGAAAAGCGGCGGAGTTGTTTGGTCATCTCGGCTGCGAAATACTTTCCACCAATCAGACCGGATCTCGGCGCTGAGCCCGACAGGCGGTCATTCGGCTACGGCGCAGCGTCCGCCTAAATGGTCTCGGAGCAGTTATTTTGCTGCGCTTTACGCGAAGGCCGGCTTCACGTCTATGACGTGCTTTTTTGGGATTTGTCGTCCGCGCGGGTGACAAGCCAAGAGTTCTTTCAATGATAGCCAATCTTCAGGGTTACATTCCTGGAGGGACACAATGGCAGACTGGGCAGACATTTCCCGCAGCGCAAAAAAACATGGCGACTTCGCAGGTAGGACGAAATCGGAGCAAGATGCATATTTTGAGTTTTTCGCAGGTCCGGAAAGCTCTCGGCTTCCGGCAGTCGGCTTGAGGCTGTTCATGGTGTTCGCACGCGTCATCCAAGTGCACATTATACGCGGTTTGCGTTTGCCGATTGCCGGAGTAGCTTATACGGATCCAGCTATGAAAAAATGAATATGTCTGAGTACCTAAATTTGCCCGCAGCACGCGATGCCATTCGTCAGGTTCTCGAGGCGGACATCAAAAGCTACCTCGCGCGTGACCGTGATGCCTGGCTGGAGTGCTGGGTGAATGACTCGCGTTTTCGAAGCATCATGGAATGTGGAACGATGCAGATTGCGCGCTCATTCGAAGAGTTCCGTCTGAATGTGTTCGACGCAATGGACACAGAGCCTGAACCGGTCAAAGCCGAGGTGCGGTTTGAGAACTTGGAAATTGAGATATCCAATAATGTTGCGTGGGCGACTTACGAAGAAACTGTAACAAGTACGTCCAATCCACGGGCCGCACCAAATCATTCACACAACTTTCGTCTATTAGAGCATGCGAATGGGGCTTGGCGCATCCTCTATCACGGGTGTTGGGCTGAATCTTTGCGTGACATTGAAAGCGCTGCGATTGAAGTTGCTGAAGATGGTCGTGTTCTTTGGATGAATCGTGCAGCTCAATCGGAGTTGAAGAATTTCAAGGGTCTCACTGTCAGCAATGGAACGCTCCGCGCGTCAAAGCCTTCATGGAATTCCGAACTGCGAAATGCCATCTCGGGCGCGCATAGGCTGACCGGTTTTGGCGAGTTCAATCGCGCAAAAAGTTCTGGCGGAGGCGAAGTCCAGTTTCCGGTTGTTTTGGGCGAAAGCACCGATGGTGCTCTCTTACTATGCTGGGTCAAGGTAGCCGACGGTCGTGTCTATATCCTTTTTGGGCACAACAGTGATTTATCCAAACAGATAGAAATATTGCAGGTAATCTACGCGCTCTCAAAGTCGCAGGCAGAAATTGTCAGGTTGATCGCAAATGGTCTTGAGATTGCCGAGGCAGCAGACGCTTTGGGTGTCTCGAAGAACACGGCGCGCACACATCTGAGGCGAGTCTACGAGAAGGTCGGCGTCAGAAGCCAAATTGAGCTCTTACGCCTGATCGTGGGTTTCGACACCTAAGGCAGGGCTCGGAAAGCCGCCATTCGTTCCACAAGTTGCATTGATCTCGTTTGCCTTGAAGCCGTCATTGCGACCTTCCGGATTAATGGGTCCTGACCCCAAGTCCGTATCCCGCACGGGTCTCCGCGCATATCTCGTTGATGAACATTCTCGGCGCAATCGACAAGAACATGAGTGCAGGCCAGGGAGACATGAGCAATCTTTCCCAACTTGAAAGATCTTTTCTGCGCGAGCGTAACCTCTGTGAGGCAGAATTGCAGAACACCGGCAATCAAGGCCGGTCCGGTGGCAGAATGATTTGCAAGGCAGAGGGTTAGGCTACAAAAAATAGTAAAAACGAGACTTGTTGAATATTTTCTTCAATGAGGTGCGGCCATGTGGGCAGATGCTTCTAGTAAACAGTCAAAATCCATAAATTTAATGTCATTTTATCTGTGAATTTTCCTGTTGCAGTATGCGCGCGAACTTAACCAGTCATGTCCGAGAGCAGAATGAACCTTCGGGATCTGCAATATGTTGCTGCCGTGGCGCACCACAGAAATTTCACGCGCGCCGCCCGCGCCGTCCATGTCAGCCAACCAGCGTTGTCCAACCAGATCAAGAAAATGGAACTCGAACTCGGCGTTCAGATTTTCGAGCGCACGCGAAACGATGTTCTTTTGACGGAATTTGGCGAGCAGGTCGCTGAAGTTGCGGCGGAAATAAACGGACTGGTAGACCGCATATCTGAAACGGCGCAGCACTTCAGAAAACTTGAGGCAACACCGTTTCGGCTGGGCATGACACCAACACTTGCCGCCTATCTGTCAGGCTATTTTCTGGACATGATCGCTGAGCTGTTTCCGGATCTGAGGCTCGTGATCGTCGAGGAAAAACCGACCGAGTTGTCGAGGATGGTCGAACAGATGCAGTTGGATGCAGCTCTGATCTCCCGCAACAGCCATGTCATGCTGTATGGCGAAGGCTCTGATGATGCGCTGACATTTACACCGCTCTGGTTTGAGCCTCTTTATCTCGGTATGCGGGAAGGGCATGTTCTGTCAGGCAGGAATGGCATTCGCGCAACAGACGTTCCCGCAAAATATCTGATCCGTTTCGACATTCCATTCGGCTATGACCTTGAAAAGGATCTTCCTGCCTCGTCTTCAGATGCCGCCGAGCGGCTTGGGATCGATGTCAGGTCCGCTCGCTTTGAAACCCTGTGCCGCCACCTGGTGCATTGCGATGCATGCACAATCGTGAACGCAATTGCTGCCGAACAGTTCAAGCGCGACAATCTCGGTCTTGCCTTTGTTCCGTTTGATGGTGAGGGCAGCGTTCGCGAACTCGGAGCGATTACCCGCCGGCAATATTCCCGTTACGGCGTGGTCGCTTCGATCAGTTCCTATATTGGCGAAACGCCTCCCAAGGGCACCCATGGCGCACGGCAAGCTGTAGTGCATTCAGTGACTGAGCGTACCGCAGCGGTAATCTGATCACCTCTTTTGGGTGTCCCATGATTTTTCAAGTGCTCGTGTGCTGCGATAAACCCGGCAATCGAAATCAGTGCAGATCGTCCTCAGGTATCGCGTTTCGGCATCTGCATCTGACAGAAGTCGTCTGACGCGGATCGAACGGCGAATGCTTTCATTTTTATTTTGCTTCACGTTTTTGCCAAAATAGGTGAACGAATAGATTCAGTCTCGAAAGGAAAAGCGGCAAGCCTCTGTAAACAAGAGGATAAATAATTCTACCTGATAACACGCTCCGTGATCATTTCGTCAGGTTATGGCGTGTATTGGCATTATGAATTTCAAGAACTCAGGTGCTCACAACAGATCCATGAGTACCGGGCGCCGTCATTCAGAGGGCGTATCCGGATGACAACTCTTATGGAGATTTCCAAATGGTATCTGGGATGCTTGCCGGTATGCGGGCGCGCTTGTTGACGACGTCCACCCTGGCACAGGAAACCGCTCGTGACGGTCAATCGCTTACGAACGGTGTTTTCAATAATGTGGTCGTTGACAACACGCCCGCGTTTGTCCTCGACAATGATTTCACACGGTTCTTGAATTTTGGTCATGTGACCACGAACAATGCCGCCGCCGCGGTATCCGTTGGCGGACAAGACGCTCAGGTTTTCAATTTTCGCAATGCACGGATTGAAGCCAACAGCGGTCCGGATGCGCTTGCCACCGGAATCCAGGTAAGCGGCAGCGCCGACATCCAGAATTTCGGAGCAGTCGATGGCGAATTCAACGGCGTCCAGTTTGCCGGTGCACAATCATCAGGGCGACTGGATAACTTCAGTGGTGCGGTGATTTCGTCAGACAGCCGCGCGGTCGATATTCAGGGTCAGGGCGTCAGCGTCCGCAACTTCGGAGACATTGTCGGCACGGGCGATCAGCGGAACGGCACGATCTACACCAACAGTACCGCGGAAGACTTTTCGATCAGCAACTTCACCGGAGGAACGATCGATGCGGGCGAAGGCAACCAGGGAGCGGGCATTTCGCTTCAGGTTGGTGATGAACTCAATGACGTTGTCCAGGGCAGCATATTCAACGGGTTCGGTGGTGTCATTCAGGGCCGGGGTGATGAAGCTGCGTCCAACACGCCGCTAGCAGGCGATGGAATCCGGATCGATGACGGGGCAGATGGCGCTGTGCTGGAGACCGACATCTTCAACAGTGGCCTCATCAGCACCGAAAGCAATCAGGGTACGACGGCTGGAATCCGTATCGCGGATGGTGTTGCTGCCGAGGGCCGGATCTTCAACTCCAGCACTGGCACGATCGAAGGACCGCGCAATGGTCTTTATATCGGCAATGCCGAGCACGATCTGGATGTTCAGAACTTCGGAACCATCCAGTCAGGCAGCCGCGCGGTCAATATCGACGGTTCCGGCGTCAACCTCCTCAACGGCGGCAACATCCTGGGAACGGGTGATCAACGTAACGGCACGGTCTATGCCGATGACACAGCCAGTGACTACTCCATCGGCAACCTGCCGACCGGTGTGATCGATGCTGGCGCAAACAACAATGGCGCCGGTATTTCTCTCTCCCTGTCCGCAAACGGCAACGGTGAGGTTGAAGTTGAAAACGCGGGAACCATTGCTGGTCGTGGCCAGGCATCCGCGGCTGCCGGAACCGCGGGAGACGGCATCAGGCTGGAAGGCGCCAGATTGGCTGAGGGTGGTTTTGCCACAGCGCTGTTCACCGGGTCGATCATCAACTCCGGTACTGTGACCGCTGAAAGTCAGCAAGGTACAGTCGGTGCCTTCAGAGCGGTCAACGGTATCGATTTCCAGGGAGCGCTTGTAAATGAAGCCAGCGGTGTTTTTGCCGGCGCTCAAAATGGTGTCTATTTCGGAACGGGTAGCCATTCCGGCGGGTCATTCGTCAACCAGGGGACCGTTTCCTCCGACAGCCGTGCCCTGAACATCGACGGCGTAGGCCTGGATGTTGTCAACCAGGGCGCAATCCTTGCAACTGGCACGCAGCGCAACGGCACCGTTTATGCTGACGGGACAGCGGACAACTACACCTTCACCAACCAGGGGACGGTGGACGCCAACGGCAACGACGCGTCCGGAGTTTCGTTGCAGACCGGTGATGTCGACGGCGATATTGTCTCGGGCTCGATTATCAACCAGGGAGCGATTTTCGGTGGCGGCGATGCAAGCGAAGGCAACACAATCGGTGATGGCCTGCGTCTGTTCTCCAACGTAGAAGACGCAGGGTTTGCCGGTCTTGTCGAAAACGAAGGTGTCATTGCAGGGTCCGAAGCGTCCGAGGTTGCTGCAGGCATCCGCATCGATGGCGGTCTGGACATTCTGGGGGCCATTATCAACGAGGGGGAAATCTCGGGCACCGTCAACGCGATCGATGCCCGCGAAGGCGGCTCCGTCACCATCGTCAACGACGGCGGCGTCATCAACGGCAATGTCTTGCTTGGCAACGAGGACGACATCTTTGTCGATCTCGGTCTCGTCGATGGTGTCATCAATGGCGGCGCCGGAAATGACACCCTGATCGCGGGTGACGGCGACAACGTCCTTGTCGGTGGCCTTGGCAACGATTTCCTTGATGGTGGGGAGGGCGTCGACACGGCGGACTTTTCCGACTTGGATGTCGCTGTCAACGTGAACCTCGGCGTCAGCGGCAACGGAACCGCAACGCGGGATACCGGTTTCACCGTGCGAGTGGAAAATGCAGTGGTTGCCGCGCCTGCGCAATTCGGATCAGCGATTGCGGACGGAGCCGCATTCGCAAACCAGGCAGCCGCGGGCAATCTCTACTACAACATCCACACTTCGGACTTCCCGGGTGGTGAGATCAGGGGGCAGCTGCTTGTCGACAGCGACGTGACGGAACACGGCATCCGGACCATCGAACTCTCCGGAGGACTGGATGCTGCCCAGGAACCGGGACCGCTTTCCGACAGTGAAGCAACCGGCGAGGCAACGGTGACCATCGTCCAGAACCTGACAACGGGTGAAGTCACCTATTCCAGCGTACTGGATGTCTCTGGCCTCAATGAAGCGGATTTGCAGACACCGATTCCGGGAGTGGTCTCCGCAATCCACCTTCACAATGCACCTGCAGGCCAGAATGGTCCTGTTGTTCAAGATACGCTTGTGGATGCCGGAGCGACACTCGATTCCGTCGAGCCGATTTCCAGCACAGGTGTTGTCGGCGAGGACGTAATCGAAAACAGTGTCGAAACGGATGTTCTCAGCTCAATCGAAAACGTTATCGGTTCCAACGACGGCGATGTCATTACCGGCAGCGGTTTCGACAACCTCCTGAACGGTGCCGGCGGTGACGATCTGCTCAAGGGTGGCGACGGTGCGGACATTTTCGCCGCAAGCCAGGGTACCGACACGGTAACTGACTTCGAACTCGGCACCGACCGGATATCAAGCGGTGATTTCGCTGATGATTTCGATGTTGCCGAAGTTCTCTCCGGCGCGATCCAGGATGGCTCGGATGCAGTTCTGTCCTTCGGGTCGGACAGCTCACTGCGCCTGGTCAACATCGACGCGTCGCAACTGGGCGAAGACGACTTCCTCGTCTGAGCCGGTTGCCCGGGGTGGCGGTGTTCGCCTCCGCCACCCTGGAACTTTCCCGAAAAGTACTTCGACCCGAACTTAGGAATTGGAGCAAGAAATGTTCCGTAAGATCTCTCCCGTCCGCAATGCCTGGTCTTCGCTGAGTGCGGGTTTTTGGGCCATTGCCGCGTTCAGCATGGCTCTCAATATTCTTGCACTTGCTGCACCCCTCTACATGTTGCAGGTCTATGACCGGGTGCTCACCAGCCAGAATATGGACACGCTGATCGCCCTTACCTTGCTGCTCGGCGGTGTTTTTGTCGTAGTCGGTTTGCTCGACTGGGTCCGTCAGCGGATGTTGAACCGTCTGGGGGCCAGATTCGAACTGAAAGTCGGCGTGCCCGTTCTGAACGCTGCAATGCAGCGGAAAATTCACGGCAGCCAGTCGGCGAGCGACAATTCGATCGAGGATGTGAACGGCTTCAGGGATTTCATTTCCGGAAGTACCTTGCTTGCGTTTTTCGATGCGCCATGGATACCGGTCTACATCGCCGTCCTTTATGTTCTGCATCCCTATCTCGGCCATCTTGGATTGGCCGGAGCGATCGTCCTGACTGTTCTGGCGCTGATCAACAATGCGCGCAGCCACGAAACGATGATGGAAGCTGCTGAAGCGCGCAGGCGTAGCGACACGCTCTACAGGGCAGGAGAGGCTAATGCCGAAATAGTCCATGCCATGGGCATGCGTGGCGACCTTGCGCAAAGATGGCGCCAGTTGCAATTTGAAGCACATCGCCTGAAAGGCAGGGTGAACGACCGCATTTCCACATTTTCGGTCGTCTCCAAAACCCTCCGGACAGGGCTTCAGTCGGCTATTCTGGGGCTCGGAGCAGCCCTTGCGATCACAGGCGAAAGCTCAGCCGGTATCATGATTGCGGCAACCATCGTGCTCGGCAGGGCCCTCGCTCCGATTGACCAGTTGATCGGGCAATGGCGCAGCTTTCTGGCCGCGACGGGATCTTATGCAAAGCTGAAGAAACTTGTTCACGAGTTTCCGGCCGGTCAAAGACGGCTTCAGTTGCCTCGGCCGCAGGTGTCGGTCAGCGTAGCGATCCAGAAGGCGGGTCCGCCGACGGCACAAAATGCAACCTTGTCCGATATCCGCATGAACCTGCAGGCCGGGGATGCGGTTGCGGTGATCGGGCCGAGCGCCTCCGGCAAGACGACGCTGGCAAAGATGCTTGCCGGTGTCTGGACACCGCAGCGCGGCTCGATCCGGCTTGACGGTAACCCGACGGCCAAATGGGAGGCCGAGGACCTGGGCAGTCATATCGGATACCTGCCCCAGGACGTGGCGCTGTTCGACGGCACGATCAGGGAGAACATTGCCCGTTTTGCTGCTGAAATCCACGATGCTCTCGTGCTGGAAGCTGCGCTAGCCGCCGACGTGCATGACCTCGTCTCGAACTTGCCGGACGGTTATGAAACACAGATCGGCAACGGGTACTTCCTGTCGGGTGGCCAGCGTCAGCGGATCGCACTTGCCCGGGCGCTTTACGGCAATCCGTTTCTGCTGGTGCTCGACGAACCGAATTCCGATCTTGATTCAACGGGCGAGGCCGCGCTCCAGAAAGCGGTCCGCGCCACGCAGGAGCAAGGCGGTGTCGTTGTGATGATGACCCATCGTCCCAGCACCTTGCAGGTTGTTGACAAGGTGCTTGTGCTTAACCAGGGGGTCCAGACGGCCTTCGGCAGGCGCGACGAGGTCTTGCGCGACATGAAGCGAAACGTCCTTCCGGCCCGTAGCCAGAACTCGAATGAAATCACCAAGACCAATCAGGAAAGGGCAGTCCAGTGAAAGATCTGACACTTTCTTCCCAAAACCGCCATGTTTCACATCTTGAGCCCGGAAAAAGCCAGGGTGAGCCTTTGCCGGAGCCGCGCATCGGCAAGCTTGTCGTGTTCGGCTTTCTCGTCGTGGCCCTGTTTTTTGGCGGAACCGCGTATTGGGCGCAACAGGCTAAGTTGGATGGTGCGGTGGTTGCCGAGGCCTCCTTCGTCGTCGATGGAAATCGGAAGACCGTGCAACACCTCGACGGCGGCATCGTCCGCGATCTGCTCGTGTCAGACGGAGACGTCGTCGAGGCCGGGCAGCCGCTGGTTGTCTTCGACAGTACCGAGGCGGAAGTCGATCTGACGGTTCTGAGCAGCCAGGTCGGTGAACTGTCGGCGCGACGCGCACGTCTGCTGGCCCAGATCGGCGGAGAAGCCACGTTCCGCAGGAAAGACGTTGCCAACATGATCGAAGAGGAAATTCCCGAGGTCCTCTGGGAAAGCGCGTATCTGACCCAGAAACGTGTGTTCGACACGGAAGCAAGGGCACGCATGAGCGAACAAGATGTCCTGAAACGCCGGTTAACGGCTCTCGAAGACGAGATCGGGGGACTTGAAGAACAGCGCCAGTCCAATGCGCGGCAGATCGAGATTTCCAGAAGTGAACTTGCCTCCCTTCAAACGCTGTTTGAAAAGGGGCTCGTTACCGCGGCAAGGATCAACTCCATACGCCTGGATATAGAACGTCTGGTCGGATTTGATGCGGGTTTCAGAACCGATCAGGCCCGTGCGCGAAACGAGATCGGCGAGCTTGAACTCAATGATTTCAGTGCCAAGCAGCAACGTCTTGAATCAGCTTCTGAGAACCTTGCGGCGGTTGAGGCACAGCTTGCGGCAGTCGAACCGCAGTTCAAGGGTGCCGTGGAACGGCAAAAGCGGGTGGTCGTCAGCGCCCCGGTCAACGGGACTGTCGTCAACATGGCACTTCACACGCTGGGTGGTGTGGTGCGTCCGGGAGAAGACATTCTGGAACTGGTCCCGCTCAGTGAAGAGCTGATCGTGGAAGCACGCATCAACACCACGGACATCGAGAAGCTCCGTGTGGGCCAGGCATCAAGGATCAGGCTGAGCGCCTTCGATCTGGAGGACGTGCCGGAGGCAAACGGAGAGATCTTCGATATCTCCGCCGATGCGATCACAGATGAGAGGACGGGCGATGCCTTCTATGTGGCCAGAGTCAGACTGGACCGGGACCAGCCGGCGAGTGTCGAGCGCCTGGAGCTGGTTCCCGGCATGCCGGCAGACCTCTTCATCACGACAGGCGAACGCACCGTTCTCAGCTATCTGGCGCAGCCATTGAGCGAACGCCTGACGCGAACCTTCATCGAGTGATGTGACAGCACCGCGGGTAACTTGAAATCGCTTACGATGCGGCTGGGCGCTTCGAACGGGTTCGGTTGCGTCGTATCTTCCCTTGACAACTTGGATTTTCAAAATTGATTGAACTGTGATCTAAACTCGTCTTGTGATTGATCCCGGAATTGTGGGCTAAAGCTGCAGCCAAACCCTGCAATTGCTGAATTGCAAATCAAATGGCGCGCGTTGTCGCGGCGCTGGCGGGAAGAAATTTGTTCGACACCCGTTTCTTTAAGAAGTGCCTCTGTGTTGTGGTGATTGTGAATGATAGAAGAAGACAAGAAACTTGTAGAGGATCTTTTCTTTAGAAAGATCCGCCCAGATCTGTTGATAGCTAATTTATCTTTGAAGTTTTCTAGTGATAAAGATTTAGTAAAAGCATTGCTAGGCGAGGCGATGCGCGAAAAAGACAGTGAGTTGGTAGAGGAATCGTTAGGGATTGGCTTCACGCATTTTGGATTTGGTGCGGACATCGTTCCAGTTTTGAACAATTTACTCAATGAAACTTGGCATATCTCTCATGAGGACATTGCAAGTCTATTGCAAGAATTTAGAGATCCAAGCAGTGTCGAAGTTTTGTTCGAAACTACGCAAAAGGAATTTGACTATCTGGCTCACGATGACGCGTTCGCGCTCGGCGTGAAATGTATGTGGGCTTTGGGCGACATCAATACTCGAAAGTCAAAACAAAAACTGGAAGCACTGAGCCAATCAGATAATCGAATAATAAGAGAGGGAGCGAAATTTCAACTCGAAAGAACTGACCAAAACAACCTCAATAATTCAGGCTAGTATTGGGTCAAGAAAATATACGCCTTTAACAGCCGGTCCTATCAAAACCAACAGTGCACACTCTGACATGTCGACGAATCTCAAAACCTTGGACTACATTTGGGCGCAAGGATCTTATTTGCTTGGCTGGGAAAAAGCGGAGACAAAGGTGGTTTCATATTTCGAATTTTTGCTAACTGAGCAGCATCGCTGTTTCGAACCCTTCGACAAAAAGAATTTGGTTGCTACAAGCTCGGTCGCATAGAAATTGAGAACTTTGAGTATGTCGATGGCCTTCCTGCGATTGAGTTACAACCTGAGTGGGGTTCAGAACTCGATGAATACAAAGATTTTCTGAAGTTGAGGCAATTGAATTTCGTCAAAGTGGTGAAATAAAAAATTCGACAGGTGACATGGTAATTAAGGTGGCTGGTGGAATTGCGACAGTTAGATACAACTGGGTTCCGATGGCGAAAGTAGCTCAGTTTGCAGAAAAATTTGAGTTGGTTCACGGCTGAAAGCATAGAGGCCAATGATTCTTTTTTGGATTCTCATCCTGGACAGCGGTAGGTGTGTGTCCGCGCAACATTGCAGGCCAAACCGCGCCTTACCAAAGAATTGCTAGCCAAAAAGGGAAGTTATGCCTCAGTTGTCGCTTACAAGCAGCGCACGCGCTTCTTGAGCGCTCTTGCGTATCGCTGCTGCAAAGAGCGTGACATCAACCGCCGATGCAACGAAAGTCGCTCCAAGCTCGAGGCACTTTTTCTGCATCCCGGGCTGTAAGGTGAGGATCCCGCCGGCCTTGTTGGAAGCAACAATCTTGTTCATGGCATCAAGAACGGCAATTTCGACATCCGGATGACCGGGATTGCCGATGTGCCCCATGTCCGCGGCAAGGTCGGATGGACCGATGAACACGCCGTCGACACCGTCAACGTCGAGGATGTCGTCGAGGGCAGCGATGCCCTTTCGGTTCTCGACCTGAACAAGCAGGCAGATCTCGTCCCGCGCGGTCGTCAGATAATCGGGAATGCCTGCAAAGCCTGACGCACGCGCTAGGGCGGAGCCGACGCCGCGAACACCATGCGGCGGATAGGTGACCGCGGCAACAAGTTCGCGTGCCTGCTCGGCACTTTCCACCATGGGAACAAGGAGCGTCTGTGCACCGGCATCCAGAAGCTGCTTGATCATCCAGGTTTCGCCGATCACGGGCCTGACGACGGGATGGCTCTTGCCTGCCGCAATCACCTGCATCTGGGCAATGATGGAGCGCAGATCGTTCGGGGCATGTTCGCCGTCGATCAGGAGCCAGTCGAAGCCGGCATGGGCGCTGACCTCGGCAAGATAGGGATCTGCCAGGCCCAGCCAGCAGCCCATCTGGATATTTCCTTCTTTCAGGGCCGCCTTGAAAGGATTGTGTGGGGCAGGCATTTAAAACTCCTGTGAGATACCGTTGACCGTGTTGAAGAGATCGGGGACCGTGCGTTCAAACGATCTGTCCGGCGCCGGAAACCGCGGTTCAAGGGTGCGTGTCCGTCAATTGAATTCGCGTTGTCACGCGATGCGCCTCCAGACGTCCTTGATGACGCCGGCAGCCATCATGACGTCTTCCCGGGTCGTGTCGAACTGACCGACCTGGAAACGGATGACCTTGCGGCCCTGAAAGGCTCCCTGGGTGAGGTAGATACGTCCATCATCATTCAGCGCATCCACGAGACGTTGCTGCGTCGCGTCATCGCCCGGGCAGCGAAACGAAAACAGGCTGAGGATCGGTTCGGTCACGATTTCGAAACCCTCGAACGCGCGGATCTGCTCGCAAATTTCCCCGGACCAGACAATATGATTGCGTATTCGGGCCCTGAGACCTTCCAGCCCGTATGAGCGGATCAGGAACCAGATCTTCAATGCACGGAAACGTCTGCCGAGCGGAATGGTCCATTCCGAATAATTGGTGACCGCCTCTCCGGTGGTCTTGAGATATTCCGGTTCGATCTTCAGCGTGTTGAGCTGGGGAAGCGGATCGGACAGAAACTGAACGGAACAGTCGAATTGCGCCCCCAGCCATTTGTGCGGATTGAAGACAATACTGTCGAAGCCTTCCACGCCGTGCCAGAAATCGGCACGCAGCTCGGGACAGATCATCGCCGCCCCGGCCCAGGCAGCGTCCAGGTGCGTATAGAGATCGTGTTTCCTGGCAACGGCAAGGACGGGTTCGAGTTGGTCCGAAGCGCCCACGCCGGTGCCGCCGGTAATCGCGATGATGCCCGCCGGGATCTGCCCGTCTTCAAGATCTCTTGCAATGGCCTGATCCAATGCATTGGCATCAAGCGCAAATCGAGGCCCGGTGGCCGGAAGTTTGACCAGGTTTTCCTGACCGATCCCCGCAACCCAGCAGGCTCGGTCAATGGAGCTGTGCACCTGGTCCGAGCAGTAGATGCGCAGATTACCTTTGCCGGACAATCCGTGCCGGTTGCCGGTGAAGCCGGTTGCGCGTTCGCGCATGGTCAGCACGGCGGAAAGAGTTGCAGAAGACGCGCTGTCTTGAATGACCCCTGTGTATGTCTCCGGAAGGTCTAGCGCCTGGCGCAGCCAGTCGACCATGACGCCTTCCATCTCCGTCGCTGCAGGCGAGGTTTGCCAGAGCATGCACTGCGCGGCGATCGTCGTGACCAGCATTTCCGCCAGCATGGAGGGTGGGGCGGCATTGGCAGGAAAATAGGCAAAGAAACGCGGATGCTGCCAATGGGTCATGCCCGGCATGACGATGGTTTCGAAATCCGCAAGAACCGTTTCCATGGCTTCGGCGTCTTCCGGTGGCGCGACTGGCAGTTGCTCCGCGATCTCGCCGGGAGCCGTTTGCGCACGGACGGGACGGTCCGCAAGCGTCTTGTGATAGTCCGCTGCCCAATCGGCAATCTGTTTGCTCCACTCGGCGAACTCGTCCCAGTCCATGCGCTAATCCTTAAAACCTGGCGATTCGGTCACGTCGATTATGCGCCAGAATCATGGCGCGACAATCGGCTGGGCGGCGAGACTGGACGCCTGGATGTCGACGCCCTCGAACAGCGAGCCTTCCTCGAACCAGCTCTTGGGGGCAGGGGCTCCCCAAAGGGTCTGGCGCTGTGGATCCTTGAGGTCCCATTTGATCGGCTCAAGGTCCGGATCCACGGTCTGATAGTCGGAGCAGTAGATCTCGATCCGGTGGCCGTCTGGATCGCGGACATAAAGGAAAAACGCATTTGAGATGCCATGCCGACCCGGCCCGCGTTCGATGTTCGAAACCCATCCCGTCGTGGACATCAGGTCGAGCAGGTCAATGATGTTGAGCGGCGTCGGCACCCAGAATGCCGTGTGGTGCAGGCGAGGTCCACTGCCGTTGGTGAAGGCAATATCGTGGACGCCGCCCTTGCGGTGCGTCCAGGCTGCCCAGAGCCGTCCGGTTTCCTCATCTGCGGTATATTCTGTCACGCGGAAACCGAGTTCATTATAGAAGGCGACCGAGGCATCGACATTGGGCGAGAAGCAATTGAAGTGATCGATCCGCAGTGGCTTCACGCCACGATAAAGTGCGTATTGCTGGTGTATCGGCGGCAGGCGGTCCATCCTGGAATAGAATTCAAGCGGAATGCCATGTGGGTCCCGTGTGCGGAAGGTGCGCGACTGGTAAGGCCGGTCCACCCATTCGACCGGAAGTCCCTTGCCTTCAAAAAAATGCACTGCCTTGTCGAGATCATCTTCGTCAAACACCTTGAACCCAAGATCACGGGCGCGGGGTTCATCTGATTTCCGCAGGACGATACAGTGGTGCCCGCGTTCTTCCATTGCACGCAGATAAATCGCTTCCGGGCTCTCGTCAGTAACCTGCAGTCCGAGCGTATCCACATAAAACGCCCGGCTTTTCGAAAGATCCGTCACTGCCAGTTCCACATGGCTGAGCCGGACGATGTTGAATGGCGGATAAAGATTGGGTGCGGGAATCGGCATGTCTTCGTCCTGTTGGTCATGAGTTGCCGGAAGGCCGGCGGTGTCTGTTGCGCTTGAAGTCCGGAAACTTTCAGTAGTCAGACTTGCTCACAGCGCCCCGAGTTTCGGAATTTTGTGGTTACCTGTCGCGAAGGCGATGTTCTTCTGTTCCATGTAGAATTCAAAGGACCAGTCGCCGCCGTCGCGTCCTATACCGCTGGCCTTGACCCCGCCGAAGGGGGTGGGCAGGTGGCGGACGTTTTCCGAGTTCACCCAGATCATTCCCGCTTCCAGGCTATCCGTGAAGCGCAGTGCGCGGGTCAGGTCGTTGGTCCAGACATAGCCGGTGAGGCCATAGGGCACATCGTTGGCAATCCGGAGGGCGTCGTCCTCGGAGTTGAAGCGGATGCAGGTCAGCACCGGCCCGAAGATTTCCTCCTGGGCAATGGCCATGGTGTTGGTTGCGCCGGTGAAGAGGGTCGGGCGGACGAAGTAACCGGTGTCGCCGACACGTTGACCGCCTGCGGCAATGGTCGCGCCGTTCTGCCGGGCAATGTCGAAATAGCCGGTCACCTTGTCGAAATGGGTTCTGTGGATCAGCGGGCCGACCTCGGTCAGTGGATCGAGCGGATGGCCGACCTTGATGGCGTTGACCCGTTCAATCAGCCTGGCTTCGAATTCGTCTGCAATTGTCTCCTGAACCAGAAGACGCGAGGAGGAGGTGCAGCGTTCGCCGTTGAGCGAATAGATCATGAAGATCGCCGCATCGAGCGCACGGTCGAGATCCGCATCGTCGAACACGATGACCGGGTTCTTGCCGCCAAGCTCAAAATGCACGCGCTTCAGCGTATCGGCGCCCTGTTTCATGATCATGGAGCCGGTCCGGCTCTCGCCGACAAAGGCAATCGCCTTGATGTCGGGATGCTCGGTCAGCGCCTTGCCGGCATCCTCGCCAAAGCCATTGACGAGATTCCAGACACCCTTCGGCAGACCGGCCTCTTCGGTGATCTCCATCAGGATACGCGCGGTCAGCGGCGAGAACTCCGCCGGCTTGTGTACCACTGTGCAGCCTGCCGCCAGCGCCGGAGCGATTTTCCAGGTCGACAGCATGAACGGCGTGTTCCACGGCGTGATCACGCCGACTGGGCCGATGGGTATGCGGGTGGTCACGTTCATCAGGGTCGGCGAGGGCAGGGACTGGCCGTCCCGGGCCGCAGGAGCCCTGTCGGCAAAGAAGCGGAAATTCTCCGCACCGCGCAGCGCCGCCTTTGACATGAAGCGCAGGGCCTGGCCGGTGTCCCAGCATTCGCACAGTGCGATTTCCTCCGCACGCTCCACGATGGCGTCGGCAATCCTGTGCAGGATCTTCTTGCGCTCGGCCCCGGCCATGTCCCGCCAGGCGGGAAAGGCCGCCTTCGCGGCCCTGGCAGCTCCATCGATATCGGCGGCACCGCCTTTGGCGACACTGCAAATCAGGCTCTCGTCCACCGGAGAGCGGGTTTCGAAGGCCTCGCCGGACTGGGCCGGCAGCGCCTCGCCGCCGATCTGGTTCAAGACGCCGGTGTTTTTGAACCGGGCAAGGTAGCCGTCAAGCTTTTGAATGTTGTCCTGAAGGTCAGACATGGTTCAAGCAGTCCCCAAATGGTCGCGTATGGTGCCCGTCTTGGGCGAAAGGTCCGGATCGATGTCGCGCATTTCCAGGGAAAGCGCGAGCGAACTGTTGGCCAGGACCGGTTCCAGGAACGCCTTGGCGGCGTTGAACAGGCGGCTGGCGGCGTCCTTCTTGACATCCATCGGTCGTCCGGCACGCAGGCGCACGGAAATATCGATGAAGGCGTGTTCCGGATTGCCGTCGGCAATGCTGTAATGCTCCGCCTTCAGGGCACGCACGCGGATACCCGGCATCGGGAAGGCGTCGATCCTGGCGGCTTCCACGCGCAGGTGCTCACACAGATCCTGAACAGTGATGCGCTGTTCGAGGTTCGCGGAATATTCGAGGGTAATGTGCGGCATGACATTTTCCTTAACAGCACAATATTTGCTATGTTAAATATATTGAGATGACGATGTCAAACTTTTTGTGTCCAACCGCACCACAATTCGCTATGAGCCGACCATGACCGACGATCTGAATGCCACTGGCGCCCTTGCGCTGCCTTCAACGAAACGCTCCGTTCCGATCGCCCTGATCCGGGCGCGGGAAAAGGTCATGGGCCCCATACGCGAGATGCTGTCGGATTGCGGCATCACCGAGCAGCAGTGGCGGATCCTCAGGGTTCTGGAAGAGTTCGGACCGCAGGACGCGTCATCGCTGGCCGAGCGGGCCTGCCTGCTCTTGCCGAGCCAGACACGGATCGTGCAGACGCTCCTGGAAAAGGGCCTTGTGACCCGTCAGGCAGACGAGACGGACCGGCGCAAGCAGACGGTCGCCATCACCGAGGCCGGTCAGGCGATCATCCACGACAAGCTGGACCAGGCACAGGCCATCGCCACACGCATCGAGGAAGTCATCGGCAAGGACCGGCTGGCAGAGCTGCTGGATATTCTGGAGGATTTCCAGAAGCTCTGAAAACCTGCCGACTCGAAAAACGTTGACCACTTATCGAGCGTCACATTTTGCGCTGGTCAGCCTGCCGCCGCCAGGCCTGCATCAAGGGCGTTCAGGATGGTGTCCACATGTCCCTCGGTCAGCACCAGTGGTGGCGACAGGATGATGTTGTTGCCGGAGACCCGTACCATCGTGCCGTTGTCGTAGGCTGTCCGGTGCACCTTGCCGATGGTTGCCTTGTCGATCGGCGCTTTTGTTGCGCGGTCGGCAACAAGTTCCAGTGCGCACATCAGGCCGTGGCCGCCGCGAACGTCTCCGATCAGTTCATGTTTCATGAAAAGCTTGCGAAGGCCTTCGTGCAGTTGCTTGCCCCTTGCCGCGGCATTGTCCTTCACGTTCAGCCGTTCGGTTTCGTGAAGACAGGCGATGGCTGCCGCTGCGCCGACCGGGTGGCCTGAATAGGTATAGCCGGAACCGATCGATCCCTTGCCGGTTTCATCCTTCTCGAACACTTCTGCAACGCCTTCCGCGACCATGACGGCCCCGAACGGAAAATAGCCGTTGGTGATCGCCTTGGCACAACACAAAAGATCAGGTTGAACGCCCCAGTGCCGGGCACCTGTCCAGCTGCCCGTGCGGCCGAAGGCGGTTATGACTTCGTCGGAAACAAGCAGAATGCCGTGTTTGGAGCAGATCTCCCGGACACCCGGCATGAAGCTTTCATGTGGCGGAATGACACCCCCGGCGCCCAGTACGGGCTCCATGATGAAAGCGGCAATGGTGCTCGGATCCTGGAACCTGATTTCGTCTTCCAGGGCCGACAGGCAGAGCTGAGCCAGTTTCTGCGGATCCGTTTCGTTGAATGGATTGCGGTAGGTGTAAGGCGCGGGAATATGGTAACAGCCCGGCATGAGCGGTTCATAGGCTGTTCTGAAATTAGCATTGCCGTTTACAGACGCGCCCAAGGTATGGGTTCCGTGGTAGCCCTTCTTCAGGCTGAGAAACTTGATCCGGCCAGATTCGCCACGAATCTTGTGATACTGACGGGCAAGGCGGAGGGCAACCTCGACACTGTCGGAACCGCCCGAGGTGAAGAAGGCGCGGCTCAGACCGTCCGGTTCAAAGAAATCCCGGAGCATCGTGCTCAGCTCTATCACCGCATCGTTGGTCGTGCCGCGAAAGATCGAGTAGTAGGGCAGCTTGTCGAGCTGATCCGAAATGGCCCGCTTCACCGGTTCGCAGGAATATCCGAGATTGACGTTCCAGAGACCGCCAACGGCGTCGACAACCCTGTTGCCGTCGACGTCGGTGATCTCGACCCCGTCACCACCGACGATGATGTCGGGTGGATTTGCCAGGCTGTCAGCTGTATGCGCCATGGGATGCCACACGTGCCGGGCATTGTTTTCCTTAAGGAAGTTTGCTTCCTTCATTTCGGATCTCCTTTAACTGGATGACAGGCCGAGCAGGCCAAGGGCTTCCGAATAGGAAGCTGCCGGGTCGAGAACGTCGAAGTGGACAGAGTGCATGCCGACTGCTTCCGCGCCCCTGATGTTGCGGAGCTGGTCATCGACGAAAACACAGGCCTCCGCAGGCAGGTCGAGTTTGCTCAGGCAGAGTTCGTAAGCCCTTGGGTCGGGTTTCAGGATTTTTGTGTAGGTGGCGTCGACAATGGTGTCGAAGTCTTGCAGGAACGGCAGTTTCATTTTGAAGTCCGACCCGTAAAAGAGGTCGAGTTCATTGGAGAGGATTGCGAGTTTCTTTCCGGCCTTGTGTGTGGTCTCGATAGCCTGCAGCGCCTCCGGGCGTATGACGGCCTCCGGATCCGCGCCACGCGCCGCTTTCACGAAGTCGGCCATCTCCGACCACGGCCTGCCGGTCAGGGCAGCGACATCCTCGGTTCTCCGGCGCCAGTAGTCACGTTCGGAAATTTCGTCTGCCTGCATGGATCGCCAAAGGGGATCCGAACCGGGCTCGAACGGCCCCTGCCACGTCAAGGTTCCCGGTTCCAGGCCAAGTGCGCGTTCGGTGAGATCATGGGTCTCGAAGAGGGTGCGGGTGACGACCCCGCCGAAGTCCAGGACAAGAGCGTCAGCTTCAAGCGGCATTGGTCCAGATCCTTCTGAGATCGACCGGGACCGTGCCGCCGAGCTTTTCGGTGACTTCATTGGCGGTCCGGGGAAGGGCGGCCTTTATTCTGAGCCTCATGTCATCGGTCACCCGGACGGTTGGAAGGGCCACCGCGATTGTTCCGATAGCTTCCGGCTGGTCGCCGAACAGGGGGCCGCAAATGAGGAAACGTGTGCTTCGAATCCCTGGTCGACGAAGGCGATCCCCGCCTCGCGCACCTTTTCGACCGTCGATCTCAGGAGATTGTGATCGGTTATGGTGTGTTCGGTGGCAGCTGGCAGGGGCGTTTTGAGCAGGTCGGGCAGCAGGTTTTCCGGACCGAAGGCCAGCATTGCCAGACCCGATGCCGTTGCATGCAGGGGAAGCAGTTCCGCCTCATCGAAATAGACCCGCGTACCGTGGATCAGGGCGTCATGATGAAACAACGGTGACATGTGATTGCCTTCACGAAGCGAGACATGCACCAGTTCGCCAAGTTCGGATGCCAGGGCTTCCACCAGAGGGGCAACGATCGTTCTTGCCGGAAACAGGCGTTCGCGGACGGCAGCGAGCCGAAGGATCGCGGGCCCGAGCCGATAACCGCGGGTTACGGGATTTTGCTCCAGGAAGCCGTTTGAAGTGAGTTCGATCAGATGCCGGTGAACCGTCGCCTTGTCCTGACCGGACAGTTTACGGAATTCCGTCAGACCGATTTCCGGATGGTTCGGAGAAAAGTGGTTCAGCAGATTGAGCGCCTTGGTGATCGTACCCATCGAATATCCGGTCCGTGTCAATTGCCGTTTTGTGTCTCCCGGCAACATGGCCGAGAGCGTCGCTTCACATTGATCTTGACAGATAGTTGCATTTGAAACAATATTTATTTGCGACCGGAGGTTCATTATTTGAACCGCCTTCGAGAATGACATTGTGCAATCCGCCGTTTGATTGGAGGTTGACAGTTAGTTATTTAATATGACAACCTTTAACAACGCAAATAAAAAATTACCCAGACCGGCCGAACAAGGCAGGCAGATAACCACCAGATGAGGGACGTGATTATGAGGAAGCATGCAATTGCCATAACTGCGGCAAGCTTGATGAGTGTAACGGCTGCTTTGGCGGACTATCCGGAAAAGCCCGTTTCCTTCATCGTTCCCTGGCCTCCGGGCGATTTGGAAGATGTTCTGACGCGGATGATCGCGGATGAATTTCAAAACATGTATGGCGTTCCGGCTGCGGTCGTGAACAAGCCGGGCGGTGGCGGTGGTCCGTTCCCTGGTGCCGTGGAGGTCGCGACCGCGCCGGCGGACGGTTACACAATCGGGTCCTTCGTTCCCGCCGTGCCGATAGCCGGTGAACTCATCGGAATTCCCGAATTGACACCCAACCCGTTCGAGCCGGTTGGCATTTTCATGACTTACCCCTTTGTGATCGCTGCCGGCGCCGATGCGCCATACTCCACTTGGGAGGAGTTGGTGGCATATGCGAAGGAAAATGACGTGGCACTTGGCCATTTCGGCTCCGTGCTGCCGCCAACCCGGATTACGTTCGCGCTGGCAGCTTCGTCCGATTTCGATTTCGCCAGCGAAGCAGCGTTTGACGAACTCAACTGCAACACGCTTGCATCTGGCGACGTGGACGTGATCAACACCACCCTGCAGCAGATTTTTCCGTGCAAGGACGATCTGAAGATCCTCGCAAGCATCGGTACCGAGCGGATTTCCATCATTCCGGACGTGCCTAGGGTGTCTGAAATCAACCCGGATCTCGATGTTGCGCTCTGGAATGGTCTCTTCGTGCACAAAGATGTTCCTGCGGATGCGCGCGAAAAGATCGAAGCTGCCGCCAAGGCCGCCCTTGAAAAGCCCGAGGCCCGGAATCTGATCGGCGAAACAGGAGTGTTGATCTATTGGCAGGATGCGGATGCATCCAACGCCCAGATCGCTTCCGACAAGGCGGTCAACGGCAAGATCTCCGAACTGCTCGGCGAATAAGCCTCTCGTTCGGCCGGACGGTCTGCGTGACGCAACCGTCCGGCCTGTGCAGTGCAAAAGGTCGGGCTGATGGCACATATCAAGACACTTCAGGAATTGTTCCGGCGGCACAGGCGTCCCGGCGATATTGTTTTTGCGATCCTTTTCCTGGCTATCTCCGTTTTCCTGCTCACGCAGATCTATGGGGAAACATCATGGGTCAAGCGAACGAAGTGGTTCGCACAGCCCCGGTTCTGGCCGGCCGCCTCGCTGATCGCGATGACGCTGTTCGCGATTTTCCACTTCGTCGGTTCCCTGTGCTCGCCGCGTATTCTTGGCAGGTGGCTCGAGGTCGTTTTCTGGCTTCGGTCGCTGGAGTTCGTTCTCTATTTTCTGCTCTATGTCGCGGTCGTACCCCTGCTTGGCTATCTGCCAACGACAGTGCTGTTCACTTGTCTTCTGACGGTTCGCGTCGGTCTGGCCACCCCTCGTTTCATTGGATTTGCTTCTTTGTTCGCGGTCTGTGTCGCGGTGATCTTCAGGTCGATCCTGCAAGTGAAAATTCCCGCAGGACAGATCTATGAAGCATTTCCTGAACCACTCCGGGCTTTTGCCTTGACCTATTTGTGAGGCGGTAATGGAAACACTTCTTTCAAGCATTGCCATTCTGTCCCAGTGGCAGGTTCTGGTCGCTCTTCTGCTCGGGTCGATCGGCGGTGTGATTATTGGCGCATTGCCGGGAGTGGGCGCGGCGGTCGCCATTGCCATTCTCCTGCCGGCAACCTTCGCATTTGAACCGATCGTCGGTCTGACCCTGATGCTCGGCGTCTACGGCTCGTCCATGTATGGCGGTGCGATTCCGGCGATTCTGATCAATACGCCCGGAACGGCCGTCAATGCACTGACAACCTATGACGGTTACCCGATGACCAAGCGCGGCGAGGGCCATCGCGCGCTCTCGCTCGCCTATTCCGCATCCTTTTTTGGCGGCATCTTCTCCGTTGTCTGCCTGATCCTGCTCTCGCCTCTGCTTGCCATGGTCGCCCCGCATTTTGGCAGCCGGGAGATTTTCCTTGCAGCGTTGCTCGGCATCATCCTCGTCGTGCTCGCCCATCGCGGTCAGGTCTTTGCCGCTGGTATGCTGGCCTCATTCGGCATATTTCTGAGCACGATCGGGCTGGAGCCGGTCAAATACACCAAGCGTTTCACATTCGACATGACCTGGCTGACGTCGGGCATAAACCTGATCGTCGTCGTGCTTGGGCTGTTTGCAATTTCGCAAGCGCTTCTGCTTCTGGTCGACAAGGATCACAAGCCCGGTGAGGCCCGGGTGGAAGGCAATCTCTTTTCCGGCTTGAGCGAATTGTTCCGCTTCAAGCGCGTCGCTTCGGTGTCTTCCAGCCTCGGAGTTCTGATGGGAATGATCCCGGGTGTCGGCGAATTCACGGCCCAGTTCCTGTCCTATACCTACGCACAGAAAACCTCGAAGACACCCGATGAATTCGGCAATGGGGCTCCCGAAGGTCTGATCGCGTCGGAGGCGGCGAACAATGCTGTTCCGGGCGCCGCGATGATACCGCTCCTGGCGCTCGGCATACCAGGTGAAGCACTGACGGCCATGATGTTGTCGGTCTTCTATGTTCACAATGTCATTCCCGGTCCGCAGTTGTTTCAGGGGCAGCTGGACTTCGTGATCGCGATCTACATCGCGCTGATCCTGCTCAATGTCATCGTGCTGGCTTTCCTGCTCTCGTCCACGAACCTGCTTCTGAAAATCATCCAGATCCCCACACGGTTCCTGGGAGTGATGATCCTGACCTTGTCGTTTGTCGGCGTCTATTCGCTGCGCAACTCGATCACCGACTGCGCCATCGCGTCCGCGTTCGGTGTCTTCGGCCTTATCCTGAAACGGCTCAACCTGCCGATCGTTCCCATAATTCTCGGGATGGTTCTGGGCGGTATCATGGAAGTGAAGCTGCGCAGCGCCATGGCGCGGGTGAAATCGCCACTCGATTTTGTCGACCGGCCGATTGCGGCAGTCTTGTTCGTCATGATCCTGCTCATTTTGATCCTGCACGTGCGGACGGTCATTCGGGAGCACAAGTCCAAACGCTTGCAGGAAACGTCAAGCAATTCAGATACCTCAACACAACAAGGGTAAAAACCAATGTTGGAACAGGGCGCAATAGATGCTCTTCGCGCAATCCCGGTTCCCGATCAGGGTCATCACATCGATGGCCGGCAGTCGCCCGCGGAAACCGGTGAAGTGCTTGATGTTGTTTCCCCGATTGACGGGG